CAGTGGGGCCATGGGTGCTGTCACCATGGGGCACCCATGGGGGTCACAGTGGACCCATGGGTGCTGTCGCCATGGGGTGCCCATGGGGGTCCCAGTGAGCCCATGGGTGCTGTCCCTGGGGGGTCCCACACAGCGGCCTATTACTTCCTCCGGGCGCTTCGAGGCGCCGGGTCCCCTTCCAAGCCCCTTTCCCCCTTCCCGCCCCAGTTCCGCTCCCTTTCCATGGTGTCCGAGTGCCTCTTCTCCCTCCTCAACGGCGACGACATGTTTGTGACCTTCGCCGAGATGCAGCAGCACAGTTACCTGGTGTGGCTCTTCAGCCAGCTCTACCTCTACACCTTCATCAGCCTCTTCATCTACATGGTCCTCAGCCTCTTCATCGCCCTCATCACCGGCTCCTATGAGACCATCAAGGTGAGAGGGGTGTAAAGGCAACTTGCCACCCGCCTGGATCCAGTGGGATTCACTTCTTGGAAGCAACCAAGGGGGGAAAGAGCTTTGCTGGGTGCTAAGCTGGGGGTTGGCGTTGCTTCCAAGGGGCTCCACCACTGCCCCGCTTCCAATGCGACCGCCCTTTGGGTGGATGAACTCGGAGCTTGAGGCTGTCCCCTCTCCTCCCACCCCCTGGGAGCAGAGACCGGCTCCATCCTCCATAAACTCATCCCAACATCCATCTAAACCTTCCCTGGAGGAGCTTGAGGCTGTTCCCTCTTCTCCCATCCCTTGGGAACAGAGACTGGCTCCATCCTGGCTCCATCCTCCTCTAAAGAGCATGAAGGTCCCCAGTGCCCAGCAACCCCCTTGAGCTCATCCCGTGCATCCAGCTCCATCCACCTCCCCGGTGCCATTCCTTAAGGAATCCCACCCTCATCCCACAGCACCAGTGTGAGGGGGAGCCCCCCGTGTCCCAGCTCCACACTTACATTGCCCAGTGCAAGGACAGCCCCAAGTCGGGCAAGTACCGGCGTGACAGCACCTCCTCCTGCTCCATCTTCTGCTGCTGCGAGCGGTGAGTGGGGGCCTGGGGGGGCCTTTTCCCAATGGATTTGGGCCTGGGCTCGAGGATTACGGGCTCTTTTCCCTCCTTATCCCATGTGGATCCCAAGCTCCAGCCCCTCGCGGCGCCGCTGAGTCGCTGCACCCATGGGGACCCCTCCACGTGGGTCTCACCAGGGTTCATGCACCCCCCCCCCCCCCCCCGTTGCTCCTCAGGGTGGGGGGATCCTTCCGTTGTGTTCCTGGATCCCAAATCCATGTGTATTTCCCTCCACATCCATCCCATTCCCCCCTGGTCTCCCCATAGGGCTCCTCTGCAAGACAACGCGCTGCTGGTGAACTGAGGTAGGACCCCTTGGGACACCCTTGGGACACCCTGAGGACAGTGTCCCTTTGTCCCCCTCTGCTTTTAAGTTCTTTTATAGCTGCTTTTAGCACCCCAAAGAGGGAACAGAGATAGGGGGACAAGGAATGGGCGCTGGTGGCCCCGTTATTCCCGATGGATTTGGAGCTGCTTTCAAGCCTGGGTGCCAGGCAGCCCCATAGGGGCTCAATGTGGGGCCTGGGACCTCTTGAATGTGGGTTTGGGAGCTTTGGAACTCCTTGGAAGAGCTTTTGGAGGCGACCTGGAGCTTTGGAACTCTTTGGAAGAGCTTTTGGAGGCGACCTGGAGCTTTGGAACTCTTTGGAAGAGCTTTTGGAGACAACCTGGAGCCTTGGAACTCTTTGGAAGAGCTTTTGGAGGCAACCTGGAGCCTTGGAACTCTTTGGAAGAGGTTTTGGAGGCAACCTGGAGCCTTGGAACTCCTTTGGAAGAGCTTTGGGAGGCAACCTGGAGCCTTGGAACTCCTTGGAAGAAGTTTTGGAGGCAACTTGGAGCCTTGGAAGTCCTTGGAAGAGCTTTTGGAGGCAACTTGGAGCTCTGTGACCCTTTGCTGGGGTCCCAAAGGCCTCTTTCATCCATGGACTGAGTTGTGGTCGGACTCAGCCTGGGCTTTGCTGCCTGTCCCAAGGGCAGGGGGAGTCGTGCCCCAGGGGGGGGTCCCAATGGGTGCCCCTGTGATGGGTCAATAAAGCGCCCTGGGACATGAGTGCGCTTTATGGGTGCTGCTGTGGGGACCCTGGGCTATGGGGTGGGAAGGGGGGTTTGGGTGCCAGCACCCATGGGTGGACGTGGTGGCAGTGGGGCCATGGGTGCTGTCACCATGG